AACTGGGCTTAATTATCATTATGAAAATGAGATCAATCATACATTTTTATGTTTTATTTTCTCAAATGATGATGATATTTCTCTGAATGTTCGACCTATATATTCTTTCTTTATGTATCATCTCGGTCGAAAGATTACCAATAAAATTAAACAGGTTGATAGACTTTAACGTAACATAAAAAGTAGAAAAAATAAAATATAAACATTCCGGCCAACGGGCCGGATTATAATGGGAAGAGATACAATTACAATAATGGGCAAAACTTAGCAGCAACCCAGGGAACAGCGTGTAGCTGCCGCCAGCCCAGGTGGTGCCTAATGATTGGGTGCAAAATTAAGGAGTCACATATGGAATAGATACAATTTGTGATTGCATTAGTTTTTTTTTTAATGAAATTTTAGATTTTAGTTTTCAATTTTCACCCGTGGAGTCTTTATCTATGTTTTTAGAACCGGGCCGGAGGCTGAACCGGAAAAGTTAAAAATAAATTTATCATTGACCGTAAACAATTTCAAATTCATATCTTCACCAAAATATCTAATAAATCATTCAAACCATATCACAAAAGAAATTATAAATTTTTAATTAGTTAAAATTATGGTGCCAGTTGGTAGTGGACCACGTAAAACGCCAACAAGGTTGGAAAATGAGTAGAGGAAATATATATAAAATTAATAATAAAGGCTTGATGATCTTCGTTTACGTTAAAGTTTTATTTAAAAAAAAATTGTGGTTAAAATAGTGAACCAGTAGACCAGTTAAACCGTGGTGGTTCATCTGGTTTTATGTTGAACCGTGAAAAACTGTTTGGTCCATTAATAACCGTTAAAGCACCGGACCGGACAGCTATCGTAACTGGTTTGGAGGTTCTACTAGCCCAGCCATTGATCCGATTCGGTTCTTATAACAATGGTATTTATTCACATCCTATAAACTTTGTTTTTGTTGGAGTAAATCAAGGTTGTTGACCTCCCAGATGACCCACTTTGATCTGGCCGGTGAGAAAAACGTGTTGCACACATCCGCCGGGTCAACCGCTGCAACGTATCGGATTGGAGGTCAACCCTTGTCATTTTTTTTTTGGAAAATGCACCTATTTTCTGTTTTCCTTTTCGCCTAACTCAATATTTGAAATGTTAAGTTGAACATTAGAATATTGATGTTATATGAGTACGTGAATTTTCATCAAATGTTTGATCTAACTACGACATGCTATTCTGATGTAATGTTATATATTATTACTCATATTTTGAAGTGGAAAAAAATAAACCAAACTATAATATAAATTTGATACCTACGAATTAAAGTTAATAGCAATTGAAAAACTCCTATAAAAAAACCTAAGAAGTACCGTCTCCGTCCCCTCCTAAGAGTTTTGGTTACCCATTAAAAGAATTAAATACAAAAAATTGGGCCCAATCACTAAGGCGCCACCTGGCTGGCAGCAGCTACACGCTGCTCCCTGGGTTGCTGCTAAGTTTTGCCCTTTTTTTCCCGCTTTGTTTAACTTCCTCTCTCCATGTTACTGTTTATTTGTACGTTGTATTTTTTTATTATTTTACATCAGACATCATTCATTTCATTCCAAACCCAAACAAGTCGGAAGAGATACAATTACAATAATGGAGCCACAAGGTTGGCAATGACAATCCATTCTGAAGGAAGGAGATCAAGCCGAGTGTTCCTTGCGATCCAATCAGCCAACGTATTGAATCGACGAGGAACAAACTCAATCGAAATCCAAGGAGAAACGCAGAGAATGGAAACCACATGGGCAAGGGTTGCCCGACACTGCCAAGGCCAAAGGCCCGGATCCTGTCTCAACGCAATCGTCAGCCGGTGATAGTCTGACCTGATACACGTTGGAATTGGATCCTGGGCCGCCAAGATAACTGCATTAAGAATTGCAACAACTTTCGCTTGAATCGGAGAAGAACAAAAGAATCTCTCAGCCTTACCTTCGAACACATGATGAGGATGTTCTATATTATATGACCCTAAATAGGGAGAGCCAAAACACAACATTCCGTCTACGAGCTGGAAACTGGTCACTTCGATCAGACCACCAGTTTATGTAATTTTGTCTGGCTACCGATTTGGAGGCAAAATGGCTTTCTGGGGCTATTTTTAGCACTGGTTCTAATCGGACCTAATTCCGCTAGTTGGCTTATAACATTAGGGATGGCAATGGGTCGGGTTTTGCCAAACCCAAACCCAAACTCATGGGTTTATCCGTGAAAAAAACTCGGTGTAAAATCCACTAGGTTTGAAAAACTCAAACCCAACCCAACCCGCTGGGTATCCGCGAGTTCATGGGTACCCGCAGGTTTTTGTCGTAAAAAATATACAATAACAAGTTCCTATCAAAATTAAAGTCAAATATCAATCTCTCAATACAAATTATCCATATATACAACACCATTCTAGAAAATTCAAGCAAATCACAAATTAACTATACAAATTGTTCATGGTCAATCTAGAAAACTCAAGAAAATTGAAGCAAATCACAAATTATCCATAAATAACATGATTAATTGAAAGCTTCTTCCTCCTTGTCAATTAAGTTTCTTCACCCTCAACTCGATAACATCAACTTCATTCAACCAAATTAGAAAGACAAAATTAGACATGTCTCCACAAACATAAATAAGTTTAGTTGTTTAGAATATTAAATATACCGAAAATATTAATTATATGGGTGTGGGCGGGATTACCTAAACGTAAACCCAACCCAACCCGGTGAATAGTGAACAGGTTTAAACCCAAATCCAACACAAAACCCGTCATTATGGTTTTACCCGCGTTGACCGGATTGGATCGGTGGGTATCCAATGATTCAAGTTTTGTTGTCATCACTAAATAACACTGCCTTTTCCCCTCTTTGCTTATGAATTTTGGAATACAACTCTAAAATGAGCAACTATTCCCTTAGATTGAACCATATTGAATTTGGGTCGGAGGAAATTATACTGGAAACAACATAGCCATTTCAATTTTGGTTCTTACATTTTAAGATTTGTTTTCCCCGGTATAGGAGTGAACATGAAGAAAAGGTTGCATAAAAATCAAAGATTTAATCATGCTCCCTGCTATAAAATACGGTTGAGTTTTGCGTATTTTTTTTATTTCAAATTTTCTGTAATGAGAATGAAAGTAGCAAAGACATTTTAGTATTTACAAGTATTTATTTATTTCAAATAGAAAATATATCAACAACAGAATTTGAATCATGGTCTTTTCAGACAAAGACAAGAACCATAGCTAATTACACTAAATAAATTGATTGTAACTTTTTGAATACAAAACATACACAAACTTGAAATCTTAAAAGCATAGGACTTCTTCATCATGGTTAGTTATCCCACTATGTCTCATGTAAGTATTTTTATGGTGCTTGATACTTTTGATTTTAATTTTTTATTATTTTAATTGAATTTCAATAAGTAATTTATAATTTTTTGACTTATAAATGAAATATAATCTTATTGCAACCCAAATATCAATGGTTGCAATATTGATATGGAATTGCGGTATTCAATATGCATAAATTATGTAAAATTATTAAATTGATATTAATTTGTACATGTTTGATGCAACAAATCTCATTTCCTTTTTCAGAAGTTTTAATGATCAAGGACAATATAATAACACATACTGTAAATTTCAAGAATAACATACATGACAAACAAAGAAAACATTAGAAATGAATACTTGAAAATGAAACTACAACTTTTCTTAATTGTTGAGTAGTAAGCATTATTCTCAACCAATGCACTCTAAATATAATGTGATTAGGATTTTTTTATTTCATTATAAATTATTTTTATTTTTTGAATTCATAGAATACCATAATTGATTATCTAATATCTTTTTCTTTGAAATCCTTTACCAATTATTATAGATTGACATTCATGGTATAATATGTTATGGTGGATATCCTCTTCAAATTGATTGTTCAATTTCAATCTTTCTTAAAACCCTCTTCTATTGTTTATGCGCTATTCAAACTAATTACATAATATAGATACATAAAATCTTTACCTCTTTTTATTTTATGGAGGAGTTAGTTATGTGTATCATTTAGAGTTACATGATTTAATATGAACTAACCACAATAAAGAAAAAATATCATGAAGTAGGCTTGAAGTGTTCATGGATGCATTGATTTGGTCATCTGAATTAGTATGACCAGTATCACAATAGAGGTTTAATTATATTTTTTGAGTGACTAAGATTGTCCTTCAACCAAATGTTGAGTATGTTGGCTGACAAACATTTTTGTATGGCACAGAATAAGGATAGAGAATGATATTTTCCTATCTATTTGTTATGCATTGTTTATAACACTTTAAAATTTAAATTTTGATATATAAGAGAAACAAATATTGGGTAAATGTCATAGTTATGTTTTTGCTATTTATGCTATATTTTATTATATATTCAAATTTTTTTTATGTCATTTTGCTTTTCAACCATAGAGAACTAAGTGATGCATCAATAAATAGATAGGTCATGGATGACTATTGACTGAGTGTTATAATCATTAAGAATATAATGTTGGGTTATTGAAGTAAGGTCATTATGATTTCAAAAATAAAAAAATTCAAAATCACATTAATGTCACACAAAAATAAAATTTTTAAATCATTTTAAAAATTATGTTCAAATAATATTACGACCAACACGTCAACCACCAAACTAATTTTATTAAGATGGGAGGGGAGGCCACCGCAATGGCATAAGAAAGAATTATTTACTTCTCTCAAAAAATCAAAACTACTAGAATACTATCTTCTTCTTCTTCTTCTTCTTCTATATGCACACAACAGACACAGACACAGTCACCATCACCAGTTCACCACGCACAAGGAAGGAAGCCAAGTGGGTGCGGTTATTCCTAGATGTACAAATTTTAAATATGGATCCACGACCGGAACTTCCCAAAGACCAAACTCGGCTAAAGGTCATATATATATAAAGAAGGAAGTAAAGGAATCCGATCGCCGGCGTTGGGAGCCTTGTTTGTGGCTATAAAAATGGTCTGCTTTCAGCAATGGAAAACCAGATATATATATCAACTAACCACCACAAATTAATATAGCCATTCTTATTCCATCCAAACATATCTCGCTCGTTCTCGTTCGGTACACTCGCTCGCCATGGCGGATTGCTGCATTATTATCTTCCCCAAACCACTGCTTATGGTGGCGGTGGTGGTTGTTGTGGGATACTTGGGCGGCGGATCAAGCCTTGAAATTTGCGGCACAATCCCGCCGACTGATCCCTACTTTCCTATATACGTTGGTCAAGTCCTTCAGGAACTGTTTATGAATACGCGGGATCAGTCCCCAGACCCTAATTCAGGCCTGCGAACTATGACCGCAACAGAACCGGAGAATAGCGTCGCCGGTAGCGGTGGGGCTACCGGTATGGCGACTTGTTCCAGTGGCTACACCGGAGAGAATTGTTATCGCTGTCTTTTTACTTTGGTAGACTATGTGGGCCCATGCAAAAACGTTACAACCGGCTCAGCTTACTACCCCGACAAGTGCTCCATGCAATTCCAGCAACTCTGAATTGTGTCGTTTCACTTTCACTTTCATTTGTGGGCTGGGCTGGGCTTGTTGGAATAAGTTGATCTCCTGTGTCGTGTCGTGTCTGCTCATTTTACTGTATTTTTCAGTTAATTATTACAAGTTCAGCTCTACTTTGATTTCCCCTTCAATTCAATAAAACTCTACTCTGGCTAGCTAGATCTTCATGAGTAGAGTGGCAATTGGATCGGATTCGTGGATTTGTGGATTGGATTGGTGGATCCATGGATCAAATGGATTGGATCCAATGGATTGATCAAATGGATTGGTGGATTGATCCATGAATCCAAATGACATCAAAGGCTTGGACCAAAATGTAAAATTTGAAAAGTTTTGGTACTAAAATGTCATAATAAAAAATTTTAGGTACCAAAATGTAATTTTCCAATGATATTTTTCGTATAAAAATATAAATTTTAGGTACCAAAATGTAAAATATAAAAAATATAGGTACCAAATCGTAATTTGCCATTTGGATCCATGGATTGATCCATGAATCCACCAATCCAATTGGATTTGGATCAAATGGATTGGATTTAAATGGATTGGATTAGGTGGATAATTTGGTGGATGGATTGAATTGGATTCATGGATTTGGATCCTAATTGCCACCTGTATTCATGAGTAGTGACTAAATCCCTGCCCCTTGGGTGGGTAGTTTCACTTAAATCCATGTCCGGACAGTTTGGTCATTTAACATTTAAATTTGAAAGAATTGGTAACATATTGGGGAAAAAAATGCGGTACGCTCTGTCCTCTCTCTTCGTTCTGGGAAGTTGGCTTGGCCGCTTGCTGATCCGGGTAGCAGTGGCCGTCCTCCGAGCTAGCCTGCTAAATCAGCAGACGAATCATCAATCGCGAGGTCAGTCTGGAGTTCAAAGCGACTCAGGGAACCACAAAATACAGTCACGATGGGTGGCTCGTCGGTGTTCCCGTCAGCCTCTCCCAGGAAGGGCTTGTGCGTTTGAGCGGCGCCGTGCAACGCTGCGGCGTAATGTGCGAAAACGAAAAAAAGGGGGATGAGGGCGAAAGGTCCAGTATCCCCAAGAAACCTCGTGTTTCTAAAATGAAAGCATGGAGATTTTCCTTGTCGTCATCGTCTGAAGTGGAAACTGATGCGTCTCCAGCCATCAGCGTATCTGTCGTGTCGACGAAACGTCAGAAGGGAAGGGAGTGTGGCATAAAACGGCCAGCTGGGAAGATGACGGCCCCCGATCTGGGGGGGGGGGGGAAACCAGGGTTGGTAGAACCGGAATTGTGGGAATACGCCGCCGGCGACAAGCCACGGGACCGGCGAACGGATAGCACGACTGTTCCGAGCATAATCCATACTCCGCGTCCGGATCCCATAATGTTCGGCGAAAGAGATACTAACAATTCCGCAAGTTTGGGAGAGAATGATTCCCTTGTTATGCAGGATACTGGACGAAACAGAAAGGAAAATAGAAAATATTTTCAATTCCAATCTCCTAACTCAACTCTAAGTCTTCTAGGGTTAGGAAATTCTAGTACGTGGGTTGGTGGCTTGGTGGGGTTAAAGTCCCCCTATAAAAGAATAGTCAGGCAGAGGCCCTCCTATCAAGGACGTGTGCTTTCCGATACACCTGCAAAGTCGGCTGCCTTGATTTCTTTGCCTCAACCCGAAGACGTGCGATTCCTAGGTATGGGTCTGACTTGTGCCCTCCCCCTCTTTGAGCCATTTTTCTTGCGTCCTTGCCCTGGAAATCCGATCTAGATTGATGATACGGTGGCTGCTGCTTCGCCGAATATCATTGGAAAAGATTGTGAGATGGTAATGAGCATAACGTGTACCAATCTTCCAAATGTGATGCAGGTTGTGGAGATGGCTCATATCACGGAGGATCAAGTCGTTCAGTTCTCTCTTGAGGACGTTCAGTCTGTGCGTTTTCGATCTTCTCGAGTGTTCACGAAAGCTGCCATGACAACCTCGGAGCTGCGTGAAATGGTGAATTCGCACTGGCAGGGAAGAGGACAGATTCGAGTCTCTCAAACACAACATGGTTTGTTCGAGTTTGTTCTGCCGAGCACAGAATCTAAAATCTGGGTGCTAAACCGAACCCCATGGGTTGTGCGCGATACTCATAAATCTGCGATCCTGGACCCAATCAGTCACTAAAACGACTTTCGATGATCTGGCAATCGCACCATTCCGTATCCAATTATGGGGGATCAAGGAAGATTGTGTCACTAAACAGTTCGGGCAAAAATTGATTTCCCCCACCATTGGACAGGTGTTGGAAACTGGGGTTTTTGGCAGTAAAGAGAAAGCGGAGTATTTTGTGAAGGTTCGCGCTATGGTGGATTTTGCTAAGCCGCTGAGATCTCAACTCTATGAGGCGAATTAGGAGCTTGGAGGGTTCTGGGTATCGCTCAAATACGAGTTCTTGCCTAGCTTCTGCTTCCATTGCGGGAGAGTGGGACATATGCAACGTGAGTGTGTATATGATCCCCCGAACAGAAAAGAAAAGTTTGGGCCCCATATGATCTCAAAAAACCAGGGCGGCGGATTTTTGAAGCGGAGGAACCTGCTCGTGCTTTTGATGGAGCCCCAAAGACAGTCTGGGTTAATAAGGCAGTGCGCGGGGGGTCGGGAGTTCAAGGTGCGGCACCTGGTGCTGTTCCCAATCAATGGGAGGAAAGGATGGATAAGGAACGACCGAAATAAACCAGGCGACTGGAGCGGGGACAGGCTGGGATAGCAGCGCTGACAGCCACTGCAAATCACAAACTGTTCGGGCGAAGCAGCCCCCGTGGCTTCCCCGTTGCGAAATCGCCGCGTATACGAGCTGGGAAGGGTAACCGGCGTGAGATGCCTGCCCAATCAGCTCGAGAGGTGCGGGGAGAGTCTGGCCGAGATCGTGCGGCGGAACCTCGTGACGGGAAGAAGAGCCGAGCGGGGATGATGCAGGGGGAAACTCACCCTCGGGTGATGAAGGAGGTTGTGTCTGACACTCAGAGGAGAAGGTTGATAGTCGAGGAGGACTCTGATGATGATTTTGTATTTAAAAGCATGGTTGAACAAAGAAATAAGAATGCAGCAGTGGTGGAGGGTGATGTGAACGTGAACCCTCCCGTGCAGTCACGTCCGAGTCCAAATATGAAGAGGGATGGTGATGCGGTGGCATCGGCGGCCACGATGGCTGGGAAGATGGCGACGGGAGCTCGACCAATTAAGGAAAAGGCGGTGAAACCTAGGAAGCGTTTGGCTAAAAGCAAATACGTGAAGGGCAAGCGGTTGCCCAATTTGAAGGGACAGTGCGTGGTGCCTTCTCCCTAGGACACCAAGGTGCCAATTGCCGCTGCTCTTTCTACTGAAGGAGCCCCGGATGAGACGGCGTCGTTGAACTCTCTCTCAGAGGATGATGCAGGTGTGTTTGAGATAAAGAGACGCGACCCAGGGGGTGGTGGGCCTCAAAGTGAGGGGGTGATGAAGGGCCGGGTCCGGCAGGTGGTTGATGCTTTTGAAACAGGCCTTAACATTAATATGGAGAGTGCACCCATAGCAGGTGTGAAGATGGGAGGTCACTCTCTGGGTGAAGGGGGCATTTCGAGCTCTCCGTTGGATGAATATGGCTCGAACCTCTTGGACCCAGTGATCGGGGAGCGAAACCGACCCTTGGTTGAGGTTGAAGGGGGCTTGGAGGAGTCACCCACACCAAAAAGATAATTTGTTGAAGAGAAGGAGGTGAATGATTCGGTGGAGGAAGCCAGCCGGGAATGGCCCCACCCAGATAAATGAGGCTTCTGGCCTGGAATGTGAGGGGAATTGGACCAGCACTCACATTCCAAACTGCTGTAGGTTTAGTTCGGTCAAATAAACCGGATCTTATGTTCTTCTCGGAGACTCGATCGGGCCGGCGAGTTGTCTCTCGTCGCATTAGGGGGTTGGGGTTTTCTATTGATCATTGTTTCTTTGTTGATGCGATTAATGCATCGGGTGGGTTAGTTTTAGCTTGGTCCCCCTAAGTTAATGCTTCGGTGTTTTATTATTCAAATTTTTGTATTGGCTTTCAAGTTAATGCAGTCGATTCTCAGTATATAGTGTTTTTTGTTACATCAGTTGCCAAACTACTGTTCGTTTGAATCAGTTGGCTCAACTTCGTGAGATCTGTGAGGCTGCCCATTTGCCATACGTGGTACTCTGGGATTTTAATGCCACTCTACATGCCCATGAAAGGATGGCGGTAATCCGTGGAATGCTTCCCAGTCTGTTGCCTTACGTGACTTTGTTCAAGACCTTGGTCTCCATGACCCTGGGCACCAAGGTGATCTTTTCACCGGGACAAACAAACGTATGGGGCCAGCCTGTATTCGAGAAAGGTTGGATAGAGCTTTATGCTCCCCGGAGTGGATTGAGCGATTTCCTGATACCCTTGTTAAACATTTCACGGATCAGGGATCAGATCACCGGGCTTTGCTCCTAGCAGATAAACCCTACATAAGGAATGGTCGTCCTCTGTTCAGATTTGATGTCCGCTGGGCTGATAATCCTGAGGTTAAAGCGATGGTGACTTATGTCTGGAGAGAAACTTTTCACGGTACCCCCATGTACCAGTTATGGGAACAGTTGAAGAAACTAAGGCATCTTTTATATGATTGGAGTCGGGCGGGGACGACGAACTCTCTGCGGAACATTCGAACCCTTCAAGCTGAAATTGAGCGAATAAAAACCATCTACCCGATTAATTGCAATGAAGTTCGAACCTTGGAGACTGAACTTAGTAGGCAATGAGAGGCGGAGGAAATATATTGGCAGCAGAAATCCAGGGTCCGGTGGCTGAAAAGAGGTGATAAGAATTCCTCCTATTTTCACACAGTCACGCGTACTCGTCGAAAAAGGAACTTTGTGCATGGTCTCCGTACGGAGACGGGTGAATGGGTAATAGAGGAGGCGGGTAAAGCTGACATTGCTGGAACATTTTATCAGCATTTGTTCACCTCTGAGAACCAGGTGCCAAACATGACTTCACGAGTGGAAGCTCTCCCAATTAGCAGATCGGTGACTCCGGAGATGAACGCTAGCTTAACGGCTCCTGTTTCTCCGGAGGAGGTTCGCCGCACGGTTTTTGCAATGGGGTCCAAACAGGCACCTGGGTCTGATGGGTTCACTGGCAAGTTCTTTAAGGCTTTCTGGGACATTGTTGGTGGCTCGGTGATTGATGCGGTGATTTCTTTCTTTGAGTCAAGTAAGATGCTTCGCAGCTTTAATCACACGTGGTTGACGTTGATCCCTAAAGTGGAGAATGTGGAAACAATGAAGCAATTGCGGCCCAATAGCCTTTGCCAGTTTGTGTATAAAATTATTTCCAAGATCATGGCTGCTAGGCTTGCTGACATTCTGCCGGTCATCATTTCGGACGGTCAAAATGCCTTTATTCGTGAGAGGCAGATTGTGGATAATATCCTCCTGGGGCATGAATTGATGCACTATTTGAAAATCAAAAACCGCGGTAAGAAAGGGTTTATGGCTCTGAAGGTTGACATGGAAACGGCCTATGACAGAGTTGAATGGCCGTTTCTGCTTGCGGTTTTGGAAAAAAATGGGATTTAATTAAACCTGGCGAGGGTGGATTCAGGAGTGTCTCCGATCGGCCTCGTTTTCTATCCTTATGAATGGCACCCCGACATGGTTCTTTTCCCCCTTCCGAGGACTTAGGCAGGGCGACCCACTCTCCCCCCTGTTGTTTTTCATCTGCACAGAGGGGTTTGCAGCGCTCCTTCGTAAGGCGATTTCGGAAAAAAGATTAGAAGGTGTAAAAGTCGCTCCTCGTGCCCCTCGGATTTCACATCTTTTCTTCGCCGATGACTCGTATTTGTTTCTGCGAGGATCTCTCCAAGAATGTGAGAATCTGATTGAGGTCCTGAATGAGTATGAGGAGCTAAGGGGGCAAAAAGTGAACCTGGCTAAGTCAGTGGTATGCTTTAGCAAAAATATTGCGACACCAGACCAGGAGTTTTTAGCCCAGGTTTTAGGTGTTGGGGCGGTGGGGGTGCATGATAAGTATTTGGGGTTGCCATCGTTAATTGCTAGATCCAAGATGGCAACGTTCCGGTATTTGGAAGACAAATTGTTGGAGAGGTTGCAGGGGTGGAAGCAGAGAACGCTATCCTGGGCGGCGAAGGAAACATTGATCAAGGCTGTTGCAATGGCGCTGCCGTTACATGTGTTGTCCTGTTTTAAGCTTCCCCTCGGCCTTTGTAGGATTCTGGATAAACATGTGGCCCGATTTTGGTGGGGGCTGTCTGAGGGGCAGCCTAAGATCCACTGGATGTCTTGGAGGAATCTTTGTCGTAGTAAGCATGAGGGGGGATTGGGGTTTCGCCGTTTTGAGCAGTTCAATCAGGCTCTCCTTGCAAAAATTGGGTGGCGTATTCTGATGGAGCCTCAGTCCCTCTTGGCGCAGGTTTATAAAGGAAAATATTTTCCGTGGGGGACGTTCCTCGAGGCCAAGGCATGCTCTAGGCCCTCGTGGGGGTGGATGAGTATCCTCTATGGGCGGCAGCTTCTTGTAGCTGGATTGCGGTGACAAATTGGGAATGGGCAGACTGCTCCGCTCCTGCAGACTAGTTGGATATCAGGGTTGCATCCTGAAGTACCTGTTCATAATCCTCGGGTTTTTCCGGATGGACAGGAACCTCGTGTGGCTGAGGTTATGTGTCAGGGAGGAGGGGGGTGGTGTGTGGATAGCTTGAGCCAATGGTTTGACCCGGCTACTTGTACGGCGATTCGAGCTATCCCTCTCCCGGTCCTGGAGGTGCAGGATAAACTGTTATGGCATGCCACGACGGATGGGATTTTCATAGTTAAATCTGCGTATCACCTTGCGGTCACTCTTGATAAACGATCGGGCCGGTGGAGGGATATGGTTAGCTGGATGGATAAGAGTAGTTGGATCCGTTTTTGGGACGCGAATATTCCACCGAAGCTGAAGATCTTTGCCTGGCAGATATTTAACCACATCCTTCCTACTATGGAGGCCCTTGTTGAGAGGAAGGTGCCGGTACTGCCACGGTGCCCGGTGTGTTGGGAAGAGCGGGAGTCCGTGGAGCATTTGTTCCTCTATTGCCCAGTTGCTCGAGCCATGTGGGATTACTCTGGGTTGGAGTTTCTGGGAGAGGGGCTTCCACGACAGACTTTTCCCCTTTTTCTCAAGCGGTTGTTGGCCCTCATCCATCAGCCGGCTCAGTTCATGGCTGTGATTGCTGTCCTCTGGCGGATTTGGAAGTCCCGGAATTGGGTTGTTTTTTAGGGAAAACAGTTTGCCTTCTTGGCCCTGGTTCGCCAGTTTCAGCAGCAAGTGGATGAATGGATGCGATTGCCGGATGATCCTTCTCCTGGCGTGGTTGTGAGTGCCTTGCAGAGCCTACCGGCTCCGGCTCCCCAGGCGGAGTCTGGGGTTGTTTGTAGGTGGGATGGGGCGACGAGAACGGGCTCACACTCTGCGGGGGGCATGGTGCTAAGCTCGGAAGGTGGGATCCTAAGGGCTAAAGGGGTTCAGTTCCCGATTATTGAAGATCCGGTGGTTGCTGAGGTCTTGGCGCTTCGGGAGGCTGTGCAGTGGTGTCTAGCTCAAGGGTACAGTGTGGTTCGGTTTGAGGGAGATGCTAAGGTGATTATCGATAAAATTCAGTGTCTGGAGGCAGAGGATAGTAGGATGGGGGATGTTCTTAGAGAAGTGGTGCAATTATTTGTCCTCCATCTTGGGTTGAGTATTCGATTTGTAGGTCGGCGTAGTAATAGGGTAGCCCATCTGGTGGCTAGGAAGGCCCTTTCGTTTTACCCGGCTGCTTGTCGTGTTTTTTATTTTCTGGCCTGGCTGAATTCCAGGATGTAACTATCTTCTTGTTTGATTAAAATATATATTTTTTGTAAAAAAAAAATGAAAGAATTGGTAACAACATTTTCCTCAACTAACGAATCAATCATTATGTTACTCTTCCTTTGTTTTAAGTAATGAAAGACAATCAAGCTTGATCCAAACATCTAGGAATGGCAATGGGGCAGGTCCGGGGCGGGTATCTTGATACCCATACCCGCTCCATGGCAGGTAGGGCCAGGTCGGGTAATTTATCACGGGGCGCGGGTCGGGGCAGGTCGACCCATTGGGTATGTAATTTATGTGAAAAACATTAGAAATATTCGTTCTTTTCATTGAAAGACCAAGAAAGAAACTATAATATGATAAAAATGTAGTTAAATTATTGAAGAAATTGAGATTTTCACTTATTTAAAACTTTATTATAGCTAAAATATAATGTAATAAGAGGAAAATTTTAAGTAATTTAACTAATATTATATGTAATTTAGGCAAGAACGGGTCGAGAATGGGGCGGGTCGGGGCGGGTCAGGGCAGGTCGGGTCGATGAGAGGTACCCATGCCCGCCCCGCTCCGCCTACGGGGCGGGTTTGACCCGCCCCAAAACAGGTCAAACAGGTCGGGTAAATCGGGTCAGGTCGAAATTGCCATCCCTACAAACATCCCAACTGGCCTATGCGACACAGCCTACATCGATCATAATATTTTTAAATGGTATTTGTTGGGGATGTTAAGCCTATCAAACGAGGGATGTCATTAGTTATCACATTACTATTTAATTACCATATGTCCCTAGGACAAAGGCCGCCATTCCACATAGACGACATTAGGAATGACAATGGAACGGGTTTCTCTAACCCATCTTCATCCCCAACTCCATTATCATTTCCAAATACTCAAACTTGTATTGCATATCCATGCCTGAAATTTTGAAACCCTTTATCCATAATTGCAGTTTTTGGATACCCGTGCACGAGTATACCCGCCCCATATTAATTAGCCAAATCTTTTATAATTCATCAAAACATTAACAATTTTTATGTTAAAATAATAAAATTTTACAATCTTGACTTCATGTGTCTCTTCCAAGTCAGTATCATATTGGCAAGTGAATATTACTAACAAAATTGTTAACTGTAAGTTAACATTTGGCTAACTCTTAGTATTTCAATAGGTTTAGGTAATATAAAAAAATTTGAAAAAAGTTTGGATAAAAAATAGACATAATCGGGCTAAAAAATAATCTAATGTATATTAACTGGGCCTTATTCCGGAGACACTGTTTTGGGCCGAGCATTTTTCTTCCTCAGTTGAAGAGCCCACTGGCTACGTAAAATTAGGATGGGATGACCCAGGACCTAATCACAAAAAGAAGACCAAAGATTGGTCTTGTCAGTCGTCAACTCGTCATCTCACCGGCTCGCTCACCCCGAGTCCCCGACCCCTGACCAAACAGCCAAACACCCACCCAGCTGCTTTGTACTTTCATAATCAGGCAGCCGATCGATCTCGAAGCCCCGCGGAGAGACGGCGGAAGAAGACTATTGAGAAATGGCAGAGGATCCTGAGAAGAAGTTCCACTCCATCATGGACAAGCTCTTTAGTTCCCCCAACTCTTCTTCTCTTAGGTAATCCCCAATGCCTTTCTCTCTGTTTGGTTCCTGTGGAGAAAATGTCGGAAAAAGTAATTCTGCTGATGGTTTCCATCGTAGAAATTTAGCTGCTCTTCATTTGTGTTTGCAACTTTTTGTCAATGACTACTGAAATCTGGATGGATGTTGCGTAGGCTCGGCTCGGCTGTTCCTGAGTCCGATTATGGAAATTTTGGAGTTCTTTTTATTATTATCTGTGTTACTCTCCGCATCTTGGAGTTTGAATTTTTCGCTGAACTGTTTGCTTGTTTAATGTAATCTTGTTGCTCCTGCTTGGTAGTTCGTCCGCGGGAGAATCGTCAAGAGGGAAGAAGCGGCCGAATCCCGAGTCTGCACTAGCCTTAGTGGAGCCAAGAGCGATGGGGGATAATCTCGATGTTCCTCAGCGCTCTGTAGTAGCTCAGAGCAATGTTCCGTTGTGTAGACCGTGGGACAGAGGTGACTTGATGAAGAGGCTGGCTACTTTTAAATCCATGACCTGGTTCGGCAAGCCAAAGGTCTGATACTGTCTTCCTGCTTAACGTAGTTGTTTCCATCTTGTAGTTCTAGACTTGTGCTTCTGCTTACAGTCGTGCATTATCTTTTCGGCATCATGTATGGAGTGAACGAGGTACTTGTGAGGTTAACTCATACGAAGATGGCAAAATTGTTCGTGTATGGTGAAGTGCTGAAGGCAGTTTTGTTACTGTTTGTGTTGATACTGTATTTCCTTATGCAATTTTCCAGGTAGAGCGAGGGTGTTTGGATTGATGCCCTATTCTGGGATATAGGTTATGGAGGGTTGTGTCTTTTGATGATCACAATGCTGTTTTGGAGGAATGACTTAGCTTTGTAGGAAGGCCTCCATATCGCTTTGTCCCATCTCCAATTCATTACTGTATTAGATGAAATCATTTATTCATGTTGGAATTCTATCATTTATGGATATGTGGATCTGATGTCTTCCATAAATATTAGGCTGTAAGTGCTGTAAACTGTGCAAGGAGGGGGTGGATCAATGTGGACGCAGATATCATAGCATGTGAAGCATGTGGTGCACGTCTCCTTTTTTCAACTCCATCATCTTGGCCACAGCAGCAAGGCAAGCAATATCCCTATGCTGATGAGTGTATCTATTGAATTGCTTGCTAAAGGTGTATCTCTGCTGAAATCTATTTTTTTCTTCTTCTTTCCTCCAGTTGAAAAAGCAGCTTTGGTATTTAGCTTAAAGCTGGATAGTGGACACAAGTTACTGTGTCCATGGGCTGACAACGCATGTGATGAAAGATTGGCAGAGTTTCCTCCCACCCCATTTCCAGTGCTAGTTGATCAATTTGAAGAACGCTCCTCAAAACTTTTGCAACTCCTGGCACTTCCTGTAGTTTCATCGTCAGCCATCGAATACATGAGAAGTCCGCAGCTGGAAGAGTTTCTTAGCCAGTCTCCAAATCTCAACCTCTGGAATGAATCTGCCAGCATATCCGAAATAGAGTTCTTGGGAAATGAGAAAGAAGCTGAGAGTGCAAAGCTGTATTATCAGGTTCATACTTTCTCACTTTTATGAGATATTATTGCTACATCGTCATGCGAGCTTGTCTTTAAAATTATTTTCATATAAAACCATTTACTGCTTAAAGACTCGTGTGAGTCTTCCTATTGTTGCAGAGGATTATAATGAAGCATACTTTTTTTAACCATCTTTTCTCAGAATCTGTCTTAATGTTCAACACTGATTTTGACCTTTTACAGGCACAACTGTTAATTAGTCTGTGTGGTTGGGAACCACATTTACTACCTTATGTTGTTGATTGCGTTGAAAAACCAAAGGGGTCTGAAATTTTGAAGTCATCCCTTGCTGATTCTACAAGACATAGTTCAAGCAATGTCCGTTCAGCCGCTACTGGACAAAGAGAGGTTAGTGAGGAAGGTAGGAGCAATGTTGCATCATCTGTTGATCCTAATTCCATCGTTTTGAATTGCGGGCTTTGTGGAGCTAGTGTGGGATTGTGGACGTATTCTACCGTTCCAAGGCCTCTGGAGTTGTTTAGGGTGGCTGGAGTAGTAGATGTAAATAGCAACAGGAGTGGCGGGCAAGAACTAGAAAACACAGATCCTGTTAACAAAGTTGGAGTTGTAACTTCTTCCTCAAACAGTTTTCTGTCTCCCCCCACGAGTATGAAGTTCACTATTGCTGGGGGTCCTCCTCCAACAAAACAGAACTTCAAAGCAACAGTATCACTGCCTGTTATTGGGAGGAATTTGAGGGCCAGGCTGTCATATGACAAGGATTTTGGAGACCATTCAAATGGAAGCCAGTTGGATCCTGCATCTCAGTCTCAAAAATTAATTGCTTTGAACATGCCTATGGATCACACTGAAGACAAGGCAGGTGATGACCTATCTCAGTCTGAAACACTGGATTCGTCAAAAGGCAAAGAACATGATGAAAGGCAGGGTAGTGCTGCGAACACTGAGCACTCGTCTGTGTTCAACTCTGGAGGTTGTAAAACTCCTGAAAATGATAATGCTCAGCCATTGTTGGAAGCAAGCACAAGTGTTACCCCAAATATACAGTCAAACCAATCTGAAAGTTCTAGTATTAAAAGCAGTTTGATCTCTATTAGAAAAAGCAACGGTGGCATTGAAGGACCACATAATCAAGGAAACGGAGAAGTTGTGGTGTCTGGTACTGGTAACCAATAATTGCTTTTGTTGTGTCTTCTCTTTTTTGTTCTTTGAGTAGCTGGTTAGTTATCGTTGATCCACTTTTGGCATTATGATTCACAAGGCTTTTATTTGCTAAAGATTATGAACTACTCTTGATTTTACTGGTTGCTTATATTTTGTTTAGACAGTCATACACACTTGCTTGTCTGATTCTTAATGTATACAAGTTTAAAATAATCACCCTTCCGATTTGGTGCAGGAAAGGAATTCAAGGAAGTTGCATCGGATAGAAGTGTGGATTTTGATCCCATCCGACAGCACAGGCACTTTTGTCCGTGGATTGTACCGACCAACAGTGGAGCAGCAGGTTGGCAGCAAACTCTGACTGCTTTGCATCGCCAGAATGATCCATCTAATTCATCACCCAAAACTCCTTCAGTCTCTTCCATTATCAAGGTAAGAGGAATCTCTTAGTCTGTTCTCAAAATAGTTAATGGATGGATCGGTTGATTAAGTTAGGTTTGTAACTATCGAAATAGTCCAGACTTTGTCACATTGCTTGTATTAGGAAACAATACTGGCCCAAGTTATATTCTTCTATACGGATTCCCTTATTTGACTTTTGGTTGTTGACCAGGTTGACGATCCCATAACTTCAGTTCGAAGGCTTTTCAGGTCTCCGTCAGCCAAAAGGCCAAAGCTCGCTCCTGGATCAAGCTGAAGCATCATTTCATTTGCAGTGAATTGATTTTGCCAGGTGCGAACATTAAGTCTTGATCTTGAGATTAAGAATGCTGTGAATATACAATCTTGGATGAACCAGTCGGTACATTTGCCATGACCATTCACTAGTGTTCTAGTGGAGAATATCCTATTACTAAATACAGTATCTGCTTTTCTTGTTTATTTCTTCTGGAAAGTAAGAACGATACCAGCTTCTTGCAACAACAAAGATCTCCCAAGTCCGCTCCATAAGTAAAACAGCAAAAAGAATGAATGAACTTGGAGGGTTTACCACCAGAAGAACTTTTTTTATCCCATCAAACCACAGTTTGTGACAATCACCTTTGAATATGGCCTGTTAAACCCCTCTCTGCATCCACAGCCCTCTTGTACCCTATCAGCTTTGCCACTCTGCTCACAGAACAGTCATAGCATTATTCTTTCTGTTTATGCAACAATAAATGGTGCATGAATGAACTTCGTACTGCAGAAAACATACAATAGGGTTTCTGCACCTAAGTAACTCCCTATACTATTCCTCGCCAGCTCGGCGTCCACGCCGTAGTATCTTACCCCCACCATGTTGCACGTAATTCGATGTGATTTTGACGAATTCTTTCTTTCTGTAGGTGATGCCAGCTTGTCCACTCACCAGTTTACTAGACCTTGAAGCGCCAACCAGGACAACATCATCTTACAGACCAATGACGACTCGACCTGTTGGCTTCCCATCAATGGATGTATAAAGAAATTCCCGCCATGTAGGTTCTTTGCTGCTGCTGCTGCTGCACAATTGTTCACCACTCCTGCCTTCTTTGACGCTATCTTCAGCTCTCGCTTTAGGGCCCAGCAGAAGCAGCAGCGAGGTATTGCTGAAAACTGCGAGCTCTCTGTGTGAGAACTGGTTTTGGGGATTCTCTCAGAAGCGGCAGTGATGGAGAGGCAGGGGGATTTGCGTAATCGGCGCCGACGGCCATGTGGGGAACAGGATGATTATGATGATGGAGTTGAATGTTGGATTGGGAGATTCTGGAGTTGTGTAACATTTCTATTTATGAGTATTTATTTATAGCTTCAGGTTCTGAGTCTTGGGAGTGTGTCTGTGAGCAATGGGAAGCGCTATGATTCACTCGAGATAAGGAAAGGGAAAGAAGCTAGTGCATGGCCTTCTTGTAGTCGGTTGTTATTCCTATCTCAAACGGCCGGCCGGCCAGCCAGCCAGCAAGGGATGGATGTCTTTGTGGGGGTAAAGGGCATAAATGGGTCATTCGATCGTATTGTTGTTTGTTTGTATTTCCTTTGCCGCGGTTGGTCCAATTTCGCGGATGATTGTTTGTATCAGATTGTGCCACGTGATCGAAGTTCTTGCAAGCTCTACATCGCATCTCGAGTATATTGCGACTGAGTACAAGATGGGAAAATGGCGTTGGGTATGATGATTGATGACTAATCTAATCTATACACGAATTCATACATACCCATTGATGATTCATAGCAGAAACCTGTAATTCGGCTTAATGCAGTTTTTTATTTATCATAAAAAAAATCACCATTAATGTTTATTTATTACATAACTTAGAATCAAGCAACATAGTTCTGAACAAAATATATTTTATTATTTTTAATGTAAGAGGCAAGCAAATAAGATTATTAACTATTATTTAATTGAATAAATTATTATTGATATTTCGAGCATCAAGTTTCTAGCTAACTAAAAAGAGAAACACTAGTACACATTTACTAGTCCTGACCTATATTAGTAGCTAAACAAAATTGAATTGTTAAAAAAAGCTAGTAAAATACGATCGTATGATATGATGATACGACCGGGTTTTACAGGCATGTGGTTTGTATTCTATTCGCTCCATTAAAAAAATATTTGAATATTAAAAAGTACATTTTATGAACCAATCTTTGATTATTTTGACGAAGTAATCCAACAGTTTTTATAGGAATGGACAATAGATGCTTTTGGTTGGTTTCGACTAAAATTCACCCCGCCCATAATTCCATGGATGGTAAAAGGTAGCTTGCACCCACTTATAATTTGAGTCGTTATGAAAATTTAACTTCAAACTAATTGAATAATAAAGCTAGAAAATTCAAGAAAATAACTTAATTTATTTTCTAACTTAACATCAACAACCTCATTTGTAAACAAAAAAATATTCTATGTTAATGTTTAACCGAATCAATTATCATTAATGTTTCGAGCATCAAGTTTCTATCTAACTATAAAAGGAGAAACTCTAGTACACACATTTACAATTCCTCACCTATATTAGCATCTACACAAAACTGTGGTATTAAAATCCGAATACGTTTGCTTCTACAATCTATCTGTGTTCGTGGTCTTCGCCTTAGTTTGAAGTAGCAGAAATGAAAGCCTCTTCACTGCATGGAATCGTCAAGCCACCCATAATTGGATGATCAAACCCAAACTCCTCTTCAGCCATGCTCAACAAATATTGAAATGAAGGCTGGTTCAAATACGAAATCGGAACTATAAACCGCTTCTTGCAATGTGTCGTCTCTCCTACATAAACCGCTAAGTAACCCTTTGGCACGTCTGAACAACTTGAAGACGTCGACGGCGATGATCTGCTAGAACCGAAACTGGACCTTCGAAGAATTTTCTTGGCAAGGTTTGTCGGTAAGCCAATAGCCATGGTAGATCCTCTTTTTTCTTAGAGATGCTGAAGAAAAGAGTAGCTGATGAAAATGAGAGGAAAGTAGACAAAGTGGGAGGCTTAATTGTTTTCTGTACGTGTTGGTTTGTGATGATGATGAACTAACTATAAGCTCATCTGAAGGGTTTATATATAGGCAAAGGGTCCATGGATTTTCGGCCACAACTTGGAAACAATTAATCGGCCCCCAATTGGCCTTGTATTGTACGTTACTGCATGGGACATAGTTCATTAAGCACCACATGGTCGTGCCTTCAAATGACGGGACCAATATTGCAGGGAGCCAGAGGACACACTAAGCAAAAAAACCCTCTAGTTGATAGGGTTTGTACTTAATTAGACGTGCTTGATGCTTCCACCAGAAAAGAATGTTAGGCGCTGGTAGAGAATGAAGTGAGAGTGAGAGGTGCGGTGCATGCATGGTAGGTTTTCTGGTATCCATCATATATAACATATATTTATGGCCGTCAAACAAGAGTTTTGTTCTCGTGGTAGTATTATTGGTCTTTAATATGGAGGTGTTTAGTTTGAAACATCTAATAACAGTAAAAGAAAACCTATTTCTCGTTCGAAGTCGTCATATCCCTCGCTTGTTCTTTTGCAATAGTTATATGAACGCGTAATAACTTTGTAAAACAAACTAGTTTAACATTTTATCGTTGGGAAGTGCTGGACAAAAAAGCTAATTTAATATTAATAGAACAAACGTGTAGGGTTAAAAGATCTTTCTAGCTAGTTATAGTTGGGAGATTATTTCCCTCTATATCTAGTTGAATGAGAAAATTTTAAACTTAAGGATAATTTTTTTTGATGAGAGTTAAATTTTGTAATCCTAAGTTCTCAACATATTCATATTCAACAAGTATTTAGTATTTACACATATTTAATCTTTTGGGTAATATGTATAATATGGAATTTTACTATTCATTTTTGTCATACATGCCACTTCTATTTTTTACAACAAATATGCTCATGTACTTTTGAAAAATTATCAAATATGCCCTTTTGTTAGGATTTTCATCCAAAATATCGTCAATCATAATCGAACCATAGTTTGGGCGACATAAATGTCTACAATACCCTCATAATTTCACGTAAACATTTTCTTCTTCTTTTGTATAGGCAATAACCCTAATAATTTCACTTTAAAGAGACTTAGAGAAATAAATAGAGGGGCAAAATTAACATTTTCCCTCCCATTTTGTCGAGGTCGAGTCTTCCAAATGACTCTTCAACCATGGTTGACAGTTTTTGGATGAAAATTTTAACAGAAGGACGTGTTTGATAATTTTTTCAAAGTGCAGTGCTATGTTTCATATAAAAATAATAGAAGGGCATGTTTGATAAAAATATATAGTAGAGATTCATATCATACATTTAACCAGCGGCGTAGCCAAGAATTTATGTAAGGTGGGTTCGTTTTTTTTTTTTAAATAATGCAAGAAAATTTTATATAACTCGCAGTGTCCCGTAATGTGTTTCATATTTTTAAAAACTTGCATCCATGTGATATTGATCTCAATATATTCTATTATAACATAATCATTCATGATTTTGTCACCTGTTAGATATCGAAGAGTGTTTTGACAAGGCTCATTGCAAATATCCTTTCAACACTTGCAGTGGAGCCTTAGATATCAACAACTATAAGTTACTTCTTTCAATGACCATGATTCAAAAAAAAAAAAAAAACTCATAATTCTATAGTTTTAGAGAACATCTAGTCTATTTTCACATCAAATATACATTTAATAATCTAGTTGAGGTTCAAATTATGAGATATTATTTTCAGAAAATTCATTATTAGGATAAAAAGAATCTAGCGAGTTCCAACAAGAGGAGGTATTGGTGATAGAGGATGACTAAATTAAGAATTTGAACCTTGGAGGATGAAGTTATATTTTGTTCTAATATTATCTAGAAAGAAACTAGAATGTATTATATACAGTGATGACATCTAAATTCATTAGGTAATTGTCAGGATTGTCAGGAACTGGTAGGAACGAATCGATTGAAGGCATGATTAGATCACTCTATTTAGAGTGTTATTTGCCCTCACAACACTGGTAGGCTCGAGCAAACCACCCCCAAGACCCTTCAATTCGAAGTCTGGAAGCAACAATCTTGTAGACTTATGTGTTCATGAAATAAAGAAGGAAAACGAGAAGAAGAAGTAATCTCGTATTAAAAATAGTTATGGCAATCATCTATTTATAGTTGTGATAAGTGGAAGTTACCTTCCGAAGAGGCACATCCTTTCACAGAAAAAGGTAGTTACATTTCCCGAAAGGACACATCCTTGGAAAAAATCCAAAACTACCACTGTTTAAATTTTTTTTACAAAAATACCACCCATTCCCAACAATTTCGAAAAATACCATCGTTTATTTAAAACCGCGTCTCTAACGAGCGGTTATCTTTGAAACCGCGCCTCCTGACAGCAGTTTACAATATAACCGCCTTGCCAAGAGACGTTTTTAATTTCCAGCAAAAACCGCTTCTGGAAGGCGCGGTTATATACTAACCCTACCACAAAACGCTTCGAGAGGGAGCGTTTAAATGTCGGCAAGATAAACCGCCCCCCCAAGGCGGCGGTTTACCATGTCCAGACATAAACCGCTGCCCCAAGGCGCGGTTTGTGCCTGGTACCTAAAACCGCCCCCTCCCCCCCGCGGTTTTGCTGCAAAATTTGCCTATAAAAGGCTGTTTCAGAGAACTCAAATTCTTCACACTCCTCTTCCTTCTTCAAATTTCAGTTTTGCACCTTTAAATTATTTACTTTTTGCGATTAACGTTAATTCGTAAGTTTGTTTTGTATTACTTTTCATTGTCCTTTGTGATTTTATCTTAGTAACTTAATTACTTTTCATTGTCCTTTGTGATTTTATGTTAGTAACTTAATTACTTTTCATTGTTCTTTGTGATTTTATGTTAGTAACTTGTATTACTTTTCATTGCAGATGGCATTCCAAAGGTTCACGCTTGGGTTGCGGTGGAATGGTTACACGGAAGAGACCGAAAAGGGTGTAAGTTACGTCGGTGGCAATTTTTATAAAATGAAGGTCAGTACGAGACCGATGCTTGAAGAGCTCCATCAAATGTTCACTCAGATTACCTGCATGGATGGCACTAGAAGAGTTGATCAAATGGTGTATCGATATCCAAACAGACATGACGGGTCGCTGTGGAATGAGGAATTCCTCCTTACCACTCAGGAGGACGTTGATGCCATGGTCCAATTTTTGACCACCAATAAAATTAAGCAAGCGGAGATGTTCGTTTACACCGAGGCCATCGAAGGCAGTGTAGGTCATTCTGGAGATGGCCAAACATCTGGTATCCACGGTGGGAGTGTATTATACGAAGATCATCCCCGCCAGGATTTCCAAGACTCGAGCTGGAGGCAGGAGTATCATCATGGAACTGGAGGAAGTCATCAATCCTTCCCTTCATATGAAGAAGAAGCTCAACAGGCGGATCACAACCAACAAGCAGGCTACCAGTACCCACCCGAGTACAACTTCTATCAAAGCGGTGTTAGTTACCACAACTACCATTACGGAGCTGGTGAAGGTGAAGGTGCCTTTCATGATGATAATCAGATGGAAGAAGAGGTCAATCCAAGTCCAGTTAGTGACCCTAAGGTTGAAGAAGAGGAAGGCGAAGTTAGTGCAGATACCTTCGATCCGCTGGAAGGTGCTGATGATTCTGGTCCAGATTCAGACGCAGATAGTGATGAGGTACCTCGCGACCGTGTACCTATTCCATACTACAATCACATTCAAAATGAAGATTGGTATGTTGATGCTGCAATGGACCCGCCAGATGTGCCAGTATGGGGTCCACTCACTAGCTTTACGAAGGGCCAACAATTTGCAACGAAGAATGAGGTCCGACACGCTATTTCCACTGAAGCAATGACTCGGAGTTTTGAATGGCAAACAACCCATTCCGACACAAAGAGGCTGGTGGTTTGATGCAAAAATGAAAATGAGGGATGCAAAGCTAGGGTCCGGGCCATCAAGAGCAAGAGAGTCGGCCATTGGGTCATATCCCGTGCTGTAAACACACACACATGTGTGTCATCAATAACATCCCAAGGCCATCGACAGTTTAAATCAAGGGTGGTTGTCGCGGCTATCAAACATCTAATTGAGGAGCAGTCCGACCTGAAGGTGAAAACCATCATTGCCCACATTTCTAGTCGTTATGGTTATACCATTAACTACAAGAAAGCGTGGCATGGGAAACAGAAAGCAATGGTTGTCGTGTTTGGTGACTGGGAAGAATCATATACATTCCTTCCCAAATTGATTTTGGCGTTGGAGGTGTCTAACCCTGGCACCATTTTCTCGCTTCGCTACCAAGATGAAGAAATTCAACCGCCGGTGCCTGGTAACAAGTGCCAATTCAAGCGTCTTTTTTGGGCATTCAAGCCATGTATTGATGGTTTTCCATACTGTGTTCCTGTGATTCAAGTTGATGGAACATTCCTTACCGGCAAGTACAAGGGTACTCTACTGATCGCCAGCGGAGCAGATGCAAATAGATTAGTATATCCATTAGCCTTTGCCATTATGGAGGGAGAGAATACCGATAGCTATGGATGGCTCTTCAGACAAATTCAGCTTCATGTCACCAGGCGGACGAACCTGACTATCATCTCAGATCGCCACGCCGGTATACGGGCTGCTATCTTAGGCTTGGATCCAGCCTGGAACTGGTCACAGAGATGGTGCTTACGACATTTCAAGAGCAACTGGAACCATCATTTCAAGCGAAAAAGCTTGCCGACAGTCTATGGTGGATCGGTAAGCGTTCTAATTAATTGTTATATAAATTTTGTCAACTGTATAAAACGAGGACTAAATCAATACAATACAACACTTATTTAGACTCTTTATAAAGAAATGCATGTCTAAGGAAATGGGGACTTAAGCGATCATCGTGATCCCCCCATGACCTGGGAAAATCGGGTTCTAAGCGATCCTCGGATCCCCCCTTTTTCTGTCAAAAAGACTGTGTTTCTAAGGAGATGTATACCTCTCCTAAGAGTCTTACGAGTGTACTTGTATTGGCAATAAGGTCGATAATACCTTACGTTTTTTTATATTCAGCAGCTGTCGCGTACCAAGAGAAGAAATTTAAAGAGAAGATGCAGAATATCCGTCAGATATGCCCTGAAGGTGCGCAGTGGCTTGATCAACATGAACTTGAAATGTGGACGTTTCATAAGGAAGGAGGTACCAGATGGGGTATTGCCACAACAAACTCAAGCAAGAGTATCAACAACGTCTACAGGGAATGTCGTGCACTCCCCATCTCTACAATTGTTGAGATGACATTCTGGAAAACAAACGGATGGTTCGTCAACTGTCTCCACTGGTGTGAGAAGAGGGAGGCAAAGGGTAATATACACTCCGATTATGCCACAAAAATAATGGAAAAAGATAATCGGAAGAGCTCTCGTCACACAGTCACTATGATGAACCGAAATGCTGGCGAGTATTCGGTCGAGACTGGGCACTGGGAGGATGGGAGACGTGGGGGTCATCGCCATGAAGTCACCGTCAACTTTAGGACTAAAAAGGGGGAGTGCTCTTATCAGAAGTATCAGGGTAGAGGGATACCATGTTCCCATGCAATGGCTGTAATAAAGCACATGAGCAAAGACTCTCGTCATTTCGTCAGTCCGTTCTTCAACATTGACTCACAAAAGAGCAGTTATCGTACTAGTTTCCGTGCATTGCCGGATGAAGCTTACTGGCCAGTTTATGAGGGCGTGGTCATCACTCCACCAATCGGTCTTATGCGGGAAACAGGGCGCCCGCGGGTAAAAAGAATTCCAAATGAGATGGATCAAAGTGGAAGACCACCGCGAGGGCCAAGGAGGTGTTCCATATGCAAAGTACCCGATCATGATAAACGAAAATAGCAGCCCGTATACCGGCGTGGCGATCTGAGATGATAGTCAGGTTCGTCCGCCTGGTGACATGAAGCTGAATTTGTCTGAAGAGCCATCCATAGCTATCGGTATTCTCTCCCTCCATAATGGCAAAGGCTAATGGATATACTAATCTATTTGCATTTGCATCTCTACCGATCCCTCTGTAATGCTAGTGCGAGAGCGGTGAAGGAGATTGATGGGGCCATGTTCATCGTCCAATTTTGGGCTTGGGAGCATTTGTCATGGATTGCGCTAAAGGTTGAACCCGACAAGGAATGGGATCTCGACCATCTCCTACGACATGAAGCTTATGATTGTAGGTAAATGTTTTCTATCCCACTCATAGTTCTCACCATTTTTTACTAATTGGGTATTTTATAACAAACCGGGTATTATGTATTAACACTCCATACTTTTTGGATTGAATAGGTGGCTTGGTGAAAAAACATGCGACAACCTAGGAGCGCATAAGTTGGAGGAGTATCGTAGGAGGCTTGATCGCCTTTGGGAAGCAGAAGTGAGCATCATGATATGCTATTAATTCCTACCTTTTTAACTTATATTATTATGTTGACTAATGGTCTATTTTTTATTCACCTTCGTAGGTTAAGTTTGATCCGTATCCAGAACGCATTGTTGCGCATCACGTCCACAAGTTCCCGTTACATCCCGGTCAATGGTGCACCCGAGTTCCACTAATCTGCCACCATATAGTGGAGTGGCACTTGCCGGATCGATGTCTACGACAATTTGGATGTGAGCAATGCCTACCATTGGATGCCCCAGAGAGTCAGAAGGGGTACCACGGGAAAGATGGTCGACAAGGAGCTACTAATTGGCCGGAGGAGTATGAAAAATTGATCCGCCTGTGGAATGTTAGGCAAGATTAGGATATTGTGACGGGATCTCATGTGGGGCGGATGGGCTACCATGACCCATACCTGGAAACCTACCGAAGACAATCTGTTCGTTACATGACCCCCGAAGGTGCGGCGGACGGAGCTTTGGTAAGTAATTCAGTTTTTATTTATTTAGTCATGCGGTGCATTATTTTTTAAATGGCTCACGTTGTTATTTTCTTCAATTTAGGTTGATGGCATCGAGCGAATACACGACCTCGCGTGGACGGCAGATAATTCGGCTGCGCGTCGAGAGGTGGGGCTCATTCTAAGGATAGCGAACAATCTCCTTGGCTGTATGCGAGCGCGCGGACGTGACCATCATAGATACCCTGGAGTTCCCCCAGTGAGACCGCCGCTGGTGACGGAGGATGTTGACCCTGTGCCTCCGCCGGTCCATAGAAGGCCAAACAAAGCTACAAGGGATCTACCTCACGTGCCGGAGATCAAGCCAATTGCGGCGTGGAAGGTGCCTACTCCTTTTGAGGTGTGCAGCGGTGAAGGGGGGGAGTACTCAGTATGATCCCCGGTCGAGTTTTCACTACGATCCCACACCCGGAAGCTATTATGATCCGCGGTCGAGTTTCCATTAGAATCTCTGGCCCAGTTTCCAGTATGAACAACGGCCAAGTACATTTCATGATGCCACATCCTCAGCTACTTGGGCCGATGGTTCATACTCAAGTCCCCACCAAGACTTCTCACCTCTGCATCGACCACAACAACAATGGCAACAACAATGGCAGTCCACTCCCCACCAAGACTTCTCACCTTGGAATCGACCACAACAACAATGGCAACAACAATGGCAGTCCACTCCCCACCGTATGAGCGTGGATAGCCCTCGACCGCAGACGGAGGGGCCACCTACCACGGAACCGAGGCGGCATAGAACGGATGATCGCCCTTCTACGGCGAATAGGAATCTGCCACCCGTTCCACCATCAGCTACACCCGGTGTAGCAGTCGCCCATCGCACAAGGAAACAGAGGGCAAATCGTCGAAATAATGCATGAGTGTGACAAGTTGTGTTTATTTCAAGTTATGTTTTGTATAAATTAATCTGAACAATTTGTTTTTAGTTGAAGTTATTTTTTAGTTTTTCATGTAGTGTGTTTGTGTTCGTGATGTGTTTTATTCAAAAAGATGGAAAATTGCATCAAAGTTTGTTAATTGTGCAAATCTCCAATGTCATTTAAGCACACAAAATACAAGTAGAGTAACCATTGAAATTAATACACAAAGATGGAACAAACGCATGAAATCAATCTAAGCGCCATTATCCGGGTTCACCACATCGGGCCCTGGATTTTGAGGACCAATTGGTCCGGAACATTTTCGTTTATCATGATCGGGTACTTTGCATATGGAACACCTCCTTGGCCCTCGCGGTGGTCTTCCACTTATAGTGAAATTTAGTACTGGTCGCCATCCTAGAGAAGAATTTAAATTTCACTATAAGTTGATGAGCTAGGCAAGCAGACGCCCAGCTCAGGTTTCCCATATCATCCCAACTACCAAGTATGATCTTCAACCATGAATTGCTTATTAGGTTGTTGGATTTCTTGGGGAAGAAAACTCCTCCGATCATGTCGAGGATGTAGCTACGTGCATAAATGTCTTTATCACACTCCGCACTTTACTTCGTGAGGGGAATGCCTCCGAACTCAGGGTTGTGCTTACGCCTGATCTCCGCTTTCAACCACGTGATGGATACTTGGCCCTTGGACAATGGTGGATGACCATCCGCATCGTGATCTCCCTTTTCTGGCGGACACAACCCGGTGACCGTCCATACAAAATGCTGCCAACCACTCATATTGGCAACAACTTTAGGTCGTGGCGTAGAGTCCACACAAAAAACATCACCATCGATGGGCAGATTGGTTAGGATGGCGATGTCCTTAAGTGTGATGGTGCACTCGCCTTCACGAAAATTGAAGCAGTGTGTCTCCTTTCGCCATCTCTCTACCATCGCCGTGATGAGTTGGCGGTCGATCTTGATTTCATTAAAATGCCTAATCGAATCCAATCTTGCCCTTTTTAGAAAGGGCAAGATGACGTCGTTCCATTCAAGCACATTCGTCGTGCACCTCTAGCGGACTATATGGTATGCATCCTAGAGAAGAATTTAAATTTCACTATAAGTTGATGATTTATACATATATAAAATATATTATAAGATGCAATATTAATTAAATCAAGGTTGTTTTAGAGAAATATACATTATCTAATAAACATTAATTTTAACATAAATAAAATAATTTTCTAAGATGCAATATTAATTTAATCAAGGTTGTTTTATATAAATATACATTATCTAATAAACATAAATTTTAACATAACTAAATAATATTATAAGATGCAATATTAATTAAATCAAGGTTGTTTTGGAGAAATATATATTATCTAATAAACATTAATTTTAACATAACTAAAATAATTTTCTAAGATGCAATATTAATTAAATCAAGGTTTTTTAGAGAAATATAAATTATCTAATAAAAATTAATATTAACATAACTAAAATAATTTTTCGAAATTTAAGTATAATTATTTTTTTTACACATACACATAAAATCAAATATATTATTTTGTTAATCGTATTGATTATTTTCAATAATTTAAAGCAATACAAGTACACTCGTAAGACTCTTACGAGAGGTATACATCTCATTAGAAACATAGTCTTTTTGATAGAAAAAGGGGGATCCGAGGATCGCTTAGAACCCGATTTTCCCAGGTCATGGGGGGATCATGATGATCGCTTAAGTCCCCATTTCCTTAGACATGCATTTCTTTATAAAAAATATAAATAAGTATTGTATTGTATTGATTTAAATTATTGAAAATAATCAATACGATTAACAATTAAGTAAATTATTGTACAAACAAATAAATTACTTTAACAAAATACAAATTACAAGTGATGATAAATAATATGTACCTTGTGGTCGTTCTAAACGTCTCTTGAACGATGATTAGCTTGATCATATAAAACAGTCGGATCAATCGGTTCTTGATCAACATAATATCGTTGATTGTAAATATCAACATTCGGCCCAACCTACGATAGCATAATAACAACATAAATCAATTAGTATATAAATTAAATAAATCATTATAACAACAACAACAATTGGGTAAAATGAGTACGTACCGTTTGATAATCATCATAGAAAAGGCCCTATTCTTGGATGAAATCGGCCATTTTTTCGGAATCCGGACAGAGGTTCGACGGTTTTTTAGTGAAAACCAAAGGAAAAATTTTTTGGAGGCAGATCGGACTTAGCCGCAACCAACAAAATAACTAATTCTAAGGTTTTTGGGTGGGGAGGGGGGTGGGTAGAGTGAGAAGTTAGAGGGAGAGGGGGGAATGGGTTTGGTGTGCAGAAAATGGGAGGGGAAGGTAGGGGTGGGCATTCGGTCGGTTCGGTTCAAACCGAACCGAACAAACCTATACTGGATTCCCGATTCCAGCCATGAGACCAACCGAATTCGAGGACAGGTAGGCTTGAGTGAGGGGGCAGTTTTGGGCTGAGAAGTGAGTCTTGATATTTGTAAGAAGAGTATATTTTCGGTTTGTCGGTTCGGTCAATAAGAACCTGGTTTCCGAATTACACCTATTTCTCTTCCGAATTCCGAACCGAATAAGAGTATTTTGATTTCGGTTCGGTTTGAATTCGATTCAGTTCGGTTCGGTTTGGGTTTACCGAACCAGATGCCCCCCCTTAGGGGGAAGGGGGTTTATATAGGGACGAAACCGCGTGAGGGAGGGGCGGTTTCGTCCTTTTACCCCGCCTAAAACCGCGCCTCCAGCACGCGGTTTGCGTTCCCCAACAGTCAAACCGCGCTTCGGGGGAACGGTTTGACTGAGCGACGTGAATCGCTGAGCTGACGCGCGGTTTGGCCGTCAGATCGCTCCCCCATCGCGCGGTCTGATGAACCGCCACGTGGCCACGCGGTTTGACAGCCATGAAGAGTCAAACCGCGCCTTGGAGGCGCGTTTTGTGCATTAATCGCTGCGAGGAGGCGCAGTTTCAATTAAAACCGCTCATTAGAGGCGCGGTTTTAAATAAACGATGGTATTTTTGGAAATTATTGGGAATGTGTGGTATTTTGTAATTTTTTTTTAAACAGTGGTAGTTTTGGATTTTTTCCCACATCCTTTCACTGGAAAAAGGGAAGTTACCTTTATGGAGTGACACTTCTTTTCACAATATTCAAACGTTAATTAATTAATATAAAAATTAATTAATTAATTAAACTGCCAAACGACTCAATTATTATTTTTTTCTTCTCCCATCAATGTGGTATTACAACTCTATTGACTAACTCTAACAATAATTATTGAATGGTGGTAGAAATATTGACCAATATCGACGAATTTCAAGTGAAAAATATCAATGACACTTAACTATTGTATTTATATATAGGTAGTTATTTTCTCTCGAGTCAAGATGGGTCCCGAGACCCACTTTGATATGCACTAGCTTCGCCATTGCATACAACCCTAATTTTTTTTTCTTCTTTTTTTTTCTAAGTGAGATCCTTGCTATTCACACTCCTCTCCACCTCCTCCGCCACTGGAGGGTACATACCCTACAACTGGAGAAATGGACTGTGACCGGCCGGCCACACACGAAATGATATGTATATCTCTGATCTCTCCATGTATTGATCGTGTGGTGAAGCGTGAGTGTCAAATTTAGGTCGGGAACATGCCTACGACAACCAACCTGGTATAGCAGCATGTTGAAGCAATTTAAGAAGCAATCCAGACTATGTGGTGTTGCTTGCTGCCATTGGGCCATGGCCTTCCAGTGAGAACGATTTCCCATGTGCCTGCTCCCTGTTATCTACACATCTCTTGTGGGGGAGAATGGGACATTATCTAATACTAATAGGTACAACTGCCCTACAAGACAAGGGCCACATACAGAATGCACCTTTCTGATCAACAAAGTTTTGAGGTAGATGTGAGTCGAATTGTCGCCTTCAGGTACAGAAATGTTGGGACAGGTTAGAGAGATGTATCATAGGGTATGTCAGGAAGAGGAGATAGAAGTTTCTGATAGCTTAAGAAACTTCATATTCTGCCCTAATCCTAGTACGATATTAGTTGTCACCAAAATTTATTGTTTATGCCTAAAAACAAAATCAATAGCACATTGATGTGTTCGAAAGAGATTTGAACAGTGTATTAGAGACTTTGTCTAAAGAAGAAAAGTCAATTTGCATAAACTGTGTTCAAACACAAATGTTTTGTCGGTGAAAAACATGTATTATATAAGAAAGTCTTATTCTTTTCCACACAAGCAAGTATTTGGAATTATAAATTTTCTTTTAGTTATCGATGCGTCGAGACGACCACCTGCCAGTTGATTGAAGAAATCATGAATTAGTTACGGTTAATCAATTCACCTACCTTAAAGTAAAATTTTTTTGTTGTAACTGACACGTAAAGTCAAGCGAAAACGAGAATAAAAGCTTTAAAATGGGTTGAATCGGAGTACAAGTAAGATTCTACTTCCGTTCCTTACTTGTTGGAGTGCACCTGTTAGACACTCCTAGTCCAAATGCAACTAGCATCGGGCCCGGCCCTTTGGCCGGCTAGAGGCCCATTAATCCAGCCATAAGGCATAGCATGCTATATATTGCAATTCAATGGAAGACCCAGTAGAAAGTGTATTTCCTTTATCAATTGAATTAAAGGCCCAATTTTTCCCCTTTACTTTTATAAACTGAGTAAATTTATTAAACTAAGAAATAGTAACCCAACATCAAAAGACGAAAACGGTTCAGCTTCCTACTTCCCTTCCATTCCTCTCTTCAGTCTCCGACGAAGACAGCAAACGGCCACCAAATTCATTGCATGGACGCCGTTCCCTGTCCTCCTGTTTGCGTGACAGACTGTATTCTCAGTTTCAGCAATTGATTTCCAAACCCTACCTCGCAACATCTTTTCTTTCAGTCTCTCAACAACAGCGAAGTTTTTTCTAGCCTCTGATAATCCAGTCGACGGTGCCCAAAACGATTCCAGATTATGTGAAGGTATATGCATCTAAACCGGACTACGAATACTATCATTGAACTTTGTTTTCTCCCGATCTACTAACATCTTAGATTTCAGAAAGTGTTTCAGTTTGAGACTCCGAGCAAAATCTTTTGAGCTCCACAGGTGCGTTTGTTTCCATGGTTTCTCATACAGTGTGGTTGGATCTATTAAAATAAGAAACATGATTAGTTATGATTTATTCGATTGTAACACAACATTAATCCATAGTTGAGGACGTATATTTCAATATTATTTTCTTGGATCTGATTACGTAGTGTGTGTTGCATACAACCAAAACATTGTATATTGTTTGTTTAATACGTAGTGGAGTTCAGTCATGGGTATAACAGCTTCCATTGAAGTTCCATAAAACAGTATATATTGTTATAGTTAAGAATCGATTATCCAGGTAAGAATCAAAGATGAATAAGTCAAAAGAAGTAAAATCCAGGTCCAATTGAAAAATTCATCGAAGGATTGACAGAGTCATGTCTTGCTTTGCTATTGTTTGTTTATCTTCCTTTGTACATGATTAGTTGATTAGTGTAAGAACTCTAACTTCTTTTGATATAATTGATCAGAGTCTATTTGATATTGGTCAATTGAAATACGAATTGGTTATTAATTCAACATTGCAAGGGTAATATGCATTGTGGTCTCAAACAACAACTAGCATTGTTTGTTTTTATGATCCTAAAAATGGCAGCTACTTCCAAAAATAGAGATTGAGTAGAAGGAAATAAGTTTGACATATATTTGAACATGGATATCATACCCGAATGGAACCCGTGAGTAATTGCTTTTTAACCAACTCAAAATAAACATATTCTTGTGTTCTCGCCACTTCTCAATACAATTGCTAATATTGCTAATGATCTAAATTATAGATTTTTTACCATGGGAGACGATTTCGTTACGAATCTAAATTATCAAACTGCTGTAGCAATTTCTGAGATCGTGGAAACTATAGATCTTATCCCAATGCAATTGGATGGTGATCATCAGGTGACTAAGATAACATGTTTGTTATCTATCCTTCTCTATCTGTTATATCAATGATTTGCATATGATTTGGTATTATTTTGAACTCCTTATGTTTTGGATTATATCAGGGCAATTCGTACATTTTCTCTGGCGTTGTAACAGAGTTGAGGAGATCTTGGTGTGAGGCATCCAGGGTATATTTGATTCACTTGACCATTGAAGATGACATTACTGATGTTGAGGTCGTGTTCCCATCAGCTTACTTACGGAGAATCATGTCTTCTGCTGTCAGTCCTTCTGAGCTTCAAAATGCGGACTATGTTACACTTCTCAACTTGATTAGTGAGAAGGCATATGAGGTCTTGGTCACATTCGGTCCTTGGAACACGTGGGGAATTATTTTGATCTCTTCTTGGTTAAGTTGTTCCCGCCTTTAGATAACTAAGTAGCATTGGGTATTATTAATATGATCGGATTAATGTTAGTAATGGTCCACCTCTCTGTAATCTCTAATGATCTGTAAGCGTAATGGATATGTGAACGCTACTATCTTTTGTAAGTTTATTATCCTTTTGAGGTGGTACTTGATGTAAAATATGAATTTAATTTAGTTATGGTACTTTGAACAAATTAGTCTTAGTAGATGTGACTTGATTGCTTTTGACACCAAAGAAAGTAAATTCATTAGTTGCCACATTGAGTTAACAATGTGAGAATTATACAACAGTGCTACTATTAATGCATTTTAGTCCCAAATCCCTTCCATTCATTATATGAGATAGTGTAGTGAGACTGCCAACTGGAAAACCAATTTAACACAAATAAAAAAACAGAAATAGAGAGAGAGAGAGAGAGAGAGAGAGAGAGAGAGAGAGAGAGAGAGAGAGAGAGAGAGAGAGGAGGAGGAGGAAGAACGGAAGAAAGGGGAAGGGGAAAATCTCTGTAATGGTAAAGAGGGAGTCAAGCTAGCAGAGAAATGCTGCTGCGGAATGAATGATAGAGCAACTTCCTTTTTTGATTTTTCCCTCTATTATTATTACAAAAGTATTTATTTAATTCCATTGAATTATTACAACGTAAGAATTACATAACAGTGCTACTATTAATGCATTCTAGTCCCAAATCTCTTCCATTCATTATATGAGATAATGTAGTGAGACTGCCAACTGGCAAACCAATTTAACACAAATCAAAAAACAGAAATGGATAATTCACAAAGGCAACAAATGGTAGTTCATAAGTGAAAAGAACACGAATTAACACTTAACCAAGTTCAAATAAATAGAACTTAGAAACATAGTCTGAAAGGTGCATTTCGTGTATTAGAACATCTAGCAAATGATATGTGGGGAACAACACTACGCAAAAGAACCTAACCACCACTAAAAGACACTGATTGTTTAGTACGGTAATAGTGCACGAAGAAGCACATGAGATTTGCTTCCCATATAGCATGCATGGTGAAGTGTAAGTAAAAAACTAAAGGGTTGCCCTCTAATGGATTTCAAAGCTTCCGCGAAGTGGTTGTCCCAGTGGTAATCGTCATTGGTTGGCATGACGACAAGTGTTATAGCTCTAAAATTGATTGATATAAATGAGACATCACACTCTGCATAATAATCACGAATTCTAAGCTGGATAATAAGCATCACATCGGTAATGTGTTGCATGAATGGTATATGGGATGAACTCAATTGAAAACGTTTAATTTGTTTTGTTAACTTACAGTTAAAAATTGATAAGTTATAGTATTTATAAGGGAAGCTGAAATTAAATATTTGGGTTGTAATCTTGCAAACATAATAATAAGATGTTGCAACCATAATAATAAGCATTACATTGGTAATGTGTTGCAAGAATGGTACATGAGATGACCAAAAAAATGTAAAAAGAAATACCAACTTAGCCCAACAAAAACTGACAACTAAATTTGGTAGTTGAAATTTAACCATTAGAGTAAAAAAAAAAATAGAACTCTTTATGAAATGAAACTCATTATTGGAACCAAAAAATAAAAAAATTATTATTCTGACAAAGTAGCCCCAGCCTGCCTGCTCTGTTAGCGGAGCCGTCAGATTGGGAATTTTCCTCTCTTCTCTCATCTCCTCGCCTGAGTTGCGATAGCGTGACAGATTCTAGAACTGACGACGATGGACGTCGGCGATGATTATGATAGCAGCGATGAAGGTAAGATCTGTTTGGTTGGTTTGCATGTCGAATTATTGGTACTTTCTTATGATTTAGGGTTCTGACATTTTAATTTTGTGGTTCTAATGATTGTAGAGGAAGAGGAAAGGGTCGCCGATTTGGATCTCTCGGCTGCCTGCTCTGACGGTGAAATCGCCAGCTCAAGACGTCCCGTCTCTTCTCTGGTCTTCTCGAATGGAGCTTCAACGGCCGGATTCGCGATGACACGGCTTCTCGTGGCGGCGAGAACCAACGACGATTGATGTTGGTGACGATGATGTCAGTGACGCAGTGGCTTCGGAAGATGGCGGAGGGTGTCGGCAACTTGGACAGGATTTGGGTCGTGAGTTCCTCCAACAACCCGTCGAATTGCCCGCTTTTCCCTTCGCCGGTAGACATCTTTGGAGAGATAGGAATAATCAAGATCTGAAGAAGACCCAGAAATTGATTCTTTCAAGTTCCAGGTAACTATATTTGGCTTTCATCGTTAGGTCAATGTTAATTAAACAAACTCGGAATTTATCTAGAGAATGCTAACATGGTATTACTAATTTGTCTAAACAGACTAATGGGGTGGTGGTCTATCGATAAAGAAAGTAGAGAGGAACAGTCCAGGCTATACCAGGAGGGTGCTGATGGGTGAGTCTATGATTCTATGTTATTAATCAACAATCTTCTGGTTTTCTGCAGTCATTACATGACCAGGGGAAAAATGGTTTATGTATCTTTAGATGATCTATTTATGCTCATTCCTCAGTTTGGAGCTGTTTCATTTTACTTTTTTATATTACTCTGAGAATGGTTTGAGAATGGTTTATTAAACTGTGGATCCACTATGAATTGTAAGGAAGCCAAAACCATAACATTTTTTTCAAATCCAGGAACAAGAATGTTGATTGTGGGTAAGCAATGGAAAAGCATTGAGATGGAGAAAGAAGCACAGCTTCTGTGAGGGTGCAGTAGCACAGAGTCCGGTGCCTGCCTGTTGTTAGAGACTGGTGTGGCATTGTCATGTAAGTTTAACACAACCTTGATTTGTTTTACAGATTATGTGTGTTAGATCGAAAAACTAAGGTGTGGTAGAATAACAGAAGGTCAAATTGTTTTGTGTAGAAGTCGAAATAGTAAATCTAATAAACCAACAAACAGAAACACTATCATACCCAATAATGGTGGAAAACACCAGCAAGTACAAAGATGAGCAAATTAATAATGCATGATGGGAAAGTTTTAATAAATAGAAGAACCCTCAAGGGAATGAAGTGCAAATAGCCCTCTAATATATAAACTACCTGAATAACTTACGGAGGACTAAATTGAAATCATTAGTCACCGGGTTAAAGTCGCCGACTTCAACCATGAACTTAAAGGAATTGCCCCTTAAGCAGAACACTCTTTCGCCTCAAAAGAGCAATATCTTCAAATAAGGCTTCTTCAGGGTCCGCAAGAACCAACACTTCAATTATATCTAAGCATAGACAACATTATTAGAGCTCAAAATGAAAAATGGAAAAAATAAATCATGCAATGACATGATCATAATTACCAGACATGTAGGCATGATTGTGAACTGCATTAGGAAGATCAGCAGCATCCAAAAATCGGAAATTGTAGGCAGGTATGTCTTGTCCATTAGGGAGCTCTTCAACCACAGTCTCCTGATGAAAACAGATTCGGAGGGTGGCAGGAGAAACTCGATGGTCATCTTCATAGGGTCGAACATGAAAGTTAGTGAATCTGTAAATCCTTCCCTCATTCAGTAGAAAGGGATCAAACAATGGTATCTCATCCGTATCAATCAACCCTTCAATCTCTGTTACCTGAAACCACAATGGATTTCAATTCAGTGATGTCCAAAGTCCAGTCTCATCTAAAGCACGTAAAACAAAAGAACAGAACAAACCTGGTTGTCGACAAACATCATATGAAATTGTTGAATTGTGATCCCATCAGGTCTCATTGTCCGCCATAGACGAAGCAGCCTAACACGAACAGCAGAATCGTCATTGTGTTGATTGAGAAGGGCTAGGCTTAGCAGCGGCATCGCATATGTGAATGAATGAAATAGAGCAACGGGGTTGAGAATTATGAAATGTTCTAACTGCCTGCAAATGCTCATTATATAGTTTTTTAAATTAAACATAGGCAATTGCTGGAAATGAGAGTGGATGAACGTGGGTGTGGTGTGGTGAAATGGGAGAATGGTAATTATTATTTTTTTGTGTAAAAAATATTGCTTGAATATAATGACTGGACGACGTGGGCTTTTTTATCCCTCTGCCATTTTGGGCTTACTTGGGGCTTTTTTAGTACGTAGGCCAGAATTAGTCTGCTTTGGTTTATTTTAGTCCGTAGGTTATCTATGAATATGATGCTGGAACAAAGGCACACTAAGTTAATTGGTTCTGTTATGAGCATAAGCTTTGAAATTGTCAATGGTATGATACTTACTTTTGTGGCCTAACACTTATGAAAAAATTAAGTACTCTTGTAAGTGAGCATAAAAGGATTGGCTGATTTAGCATAATTGAAGGCTTCTAGTAGTGTGTCTCCTGGATAGAGTTGTCTGGATTCTGACTAATAGTATGAATGGGATAATTAATGCAGGTTTTGGTCAGATTGGTTCTGCATATTGCAACATCGATCTAGGCACCATGTGGAAATGGAGGAAGTCAATGATCCTTTCATTGATGTTAAGTACATGGTAAGAGATGCCTTAGTAACTATTAACATTTCTTTTCCCTATATGCCAAATGAAAATGAACTTTGGTGATGTCAAAGTTGTTTAATTAAACTAGATTGTTCTCTGAAATGTATTTCAATATGTTTCATTTTAAATTTGACGATTAATTGGCATGAGTATAGTTGTTCCCGCATTGAAATCTGAAAGCAAAGCACATCTTTTCATTTTGTTTGAAAATAAATTCTAATTCACTATAATTTATTCATTATATTCAGGCTTACATGTTCAAGTATGATTCTACTCACCGCCGATGAACGAACAACAAACGAAACTGGGCTTTGTGGGTTTGCTCTGCAGTCATGACTTCTGCGACTGACCATTGGCAAAACAACACTACCCTCTGATGGATTTCCATTACTTTCAATCAAAGGAAGCCTGTGTTTTTTCAGTGTACACCTCATGGCCTATCACAGGATGATGAGCCCATTGTTGACCGAAATTGGTTACTAATTTCACGGAAGAAGAATCTAATGTATCATTATAATATTAGGAAGGTACTTAAGTTTGATTGGGAAACGTTGGTTTGAGATTATATTTTCAGTTTATCAATCTCAGAAGTAGCCACAGTTGGTATAGAAGACTTGGGTTCGTGACCAGGGTCGGAGGTGGAATTATTCTTCATTGAAACAATCGAATTCATTAAGGACTACAAATTTATCAAACTACTAATGAAACATGAGCTGGCTGAGATTATCCATAGAACCCTCATACACCTACTGAAACCTGTTTTCCATTTAATGAAATGAAAGAAAAATGAAAAGACCACACTATTTGATTGACGGTGCTTGAATGAGAAAAGCAATAATCCATCCACTAAAATTATCAAACAAAGAGGTACTTCTAATAAACGGAAAGGCATAAACTCCTTGAAATAAAGAGTGAATGTTGCAAACTTGAGACACAGCAAAGGGAAAAAACTTCAGACACACCAAAGGGAGTAAGGAAACAGGAATCGTTTGGATACATAGAAATCAACATAGAAACAAAGAAATCAGTGGTCAGATGAAGTTTGGGATGACTCAAGGCCACTACTAAGTGATGAGGAGGAGCTGTCTTTGTGCAGATTAGACTCCGAACTCTGCAATAGAAATGGTGGTAAGAAACAAAAAGTAGTTACATGAATTATGGCCTGCAAAACTTCGTGATCTGATTAGCATTCATGTCAAACAGACCTGTGTTGGGTCTACTGGGAGAAAAAAATGCAAGCTTAACATCATAAAAAAAATATCCAGGTCTTATAAGAAAGCTTACCGTTGCTTCAGGCTCCAAAATTTTTAACACTGTGAAATCGGGTTGAGCATCACTGTATAGATTTGGCTTGAATTTCACATGGAACAGCTTGGTGACACCAACTACTTTGAGCAGATCTGCAGGGGGTTCTTCATAATTTTGACCAGTTCTATTGAATAGCTCATTAGCAGTTGGGCCAAAGAATCGTTTCCCTTCATACTAGAAAATTATAAAGGTTGCTGACTTTGAATTGGCTTCAACCTCAAGCTGAATCCGATATATGAAAGCACAGAAACGAAAGAAGGGCACTTAGTTTAAAAAAGAATGTAGTTTTCATATGACAGTCAGTTTGAGGCAACAAAAACAAAGGAACTTTACTTGGCAGCTCTAATTGGAGTCAGCTTGTTGCATTTCACACAGTAGTATTCTCCATTCCTTTCTATGGGTTTAAGGACATAGGTTGGGCAACCCAAGTAACACCAAAATGGCTTGATCCCCACTACTTTGCAAGTAACAGAATAAACACATTCCTAATAAATGCTGATTTGAGAATGAGCTGTTCTACCCCCATCCATTAAAAGGGCTGCAATCCCAGAAGAAGCTACACATAGAACAATCTTATTTTCCGATCGCAGTTTCAAGCAAATGAATTTCCATAAAAAGGTCTTCCCAGTCCCACCACATCCATCAATAAAGAATGCAATTTCCTTATCTGCATATACTGATTCAGTAATTTCATCAAAAGCAATTTTTTGTTGGGTATTGAGCTTGGAAATCATACCTTCAAATTGCTCACGAAGACTTGCAGCATTGTAGTTAAGTTCTGCACTGATCAAACGATTTGATGAAGATGGCATGTTACCAGTATTGATAACTGGTAATCCAGGAAAATCAGATAGAGTTTTGCAATTTCTTGCAAGCAATTTATCTATCTCCAGCAAACAACATTCCTTTAACTGAAGATCAGTTATCTCTAAAGTAGGCATATTTAGTTCCTTCCGACGGCCATACAAAATGTCATCAGATAACAGTGACCAATTCCGCTCCCATAGTTTCCCAATGTCTGAAACTTGACAGAGGCTGATGATAGTAACAAATAAAGTTCTAAGCTTTTTACCGGATGCCCAAATAGCCGCTTCAGCCAAACAGTCATTCCATTCATTATCTTCTGCCAATAGACCATGCGCATAACATGCTTCCTTAAAAGATTTATGCAAAAATCCATTCAATGTTCTGATGTCCTCAAAACTACCCGCACCACGAACAATATGTAGCAGCATACGCAGATATAACCTGTCATTTGTAGGCGAAGGATGACAATAATACAACCGACCAATACTGAACATGGATTTCCTCTTGTGCCACGCCTGCTTTTTTTTATTCCAAACATAATGTTGAGGAAATTCTACAAATGTATATTTCCTTGCATCTGGAGATAGCTTATTCACTTTCATCCATTCCAATAGCATAGAGGTTTGAGCACGTTTAGACTGAAGCACACCTTGAGAATTTGAATGCTGCCTTGAGACAACTACATTATGACCAGGAAGATGATAAGACATGCGCAATACTGATGGGTACTGTGAGTAGACATCAAACTTGAACAACCTCCAGCATGCTTCACCAGATGTGATATAACGACAATCTAGATATGCTTTGATCTCATCAACACGTGGTGTGGGATTCGAACTTGATGCACCAGATTCAATTCCAGTAGTAGTTTCATTGTCAACTAATGAAGCTTTTGCTCGATCTTGTGGTTTGTTGATATACTTGAACAAATATTTGATTGCCCTACAATGGCAAACAGAATATGGAAAAAAATGCACAGGTAAGAAAATCTAGAAAAATACAAATACAGATAACATACAGGAGAAAGTGTGAATTACATCATGGGAACAATAATCAGAGGATGATTTTATATTTATTACAGTGAGTCCATAATGATGCAATTATGATGTCGTTAGTTTGTTTATATTCTTAATTAATAACAATTTAAGAATTCTGGGAACAGAAAATCACCACATAATTTCATCAGGGTCTCGATATTAAACCCATTGTTTTGTTTTCCCCTTCACCTTGTTCCCCACCGTTCTGACTTCTGAGGAAATACATGGTTTGCGGTTTGTTTCGCCCTTTGGAGCCCACCACCAACCGGTCAATTATTCAAAAAAAGAACTTGTTTGGGCCACCGCAGATAGCCGGCTCCTTGGGATTAAACTAATAAAGGAAACGAATCATGTTATTAGCAACTCAATTAATTAAAGTTTAACACAACTACTGGTTTCATGTTCGTTACTGGGCAATGACAGCCCAGACAAACCTTCCTTATTAAATAACCCTATTGTTCTTCCTGATGATTAATGATCATGCTTAGGTTATAATTAACTATATCATCGCATTTTTATTTTATTATGTATCTTCCATCAGTGGAATTCTCTTTATGTTGCTTTCAGTACCTCCTCCTAGTGGAAACTAATTAATTGATGCCCACCCCAATCCCAAAGCTACTGCATTACACTAATGAGTAATGATCAGATAAAACAAAACTAATGAGTAGTGATGCAGTAGTCATACTGATACGTGTAAAGCAATAAAAAAACAAAACAAAAGCTACCAAATTTGGCAATTTACATGGAAGGGAATCAAAAAGTAAAGTCAATCATAAATATTATATGTGGTAGTGAAAAAGATACCTGGATTTATTGCAGAACTCAACGTTTATATGGGCATCGAATCGTAATAATAAATAGCAATTGTAGGGCACGACAAAACGATTGTCCAATGACACATAGTTAACTTTAAAAGAATTTCCACTGTCACGTCGTCGATATTTGGCAAAGCCATTATCATCAATCGTTGTTTGCTCACAAAACGGCTTTGGAAAATGTTTAGTACACACACCACCTTCTGTGCAAGGAGCATTACGGCCCAAAATACCACATGGACCATGCAACATAAATACCGTTACAGCTCTATAGCCTTCTGGATCAAGATCAGAGTTTGGAATTTTTGCGGATATAACTGAATCAATGGCCTTCGGCCCAGTTAGTTTACAATCCGAAGCTAGGAAGACTAACAAATGAGCATGGGGAAGGCCACACTTTTGAAACTCAAT